CCATGGGACTTGAGAAGAGGATGGGCCCTTAGAGGTTTACTATTCCAACCTCCCCATTGCACAGATGAGGAAGCTAGGACCACACAGGAAAGTTACCTAACTTGACTAAGATGACACGGTACTTAGTGGCCAAGCCAGGACTAGAGCACTGGTCTCTTCCCTCAAGATATTACTTTTCTACCATATTTAGCTACATTACATAATTTATAAATTGCACGACTTTTTAAAAGTTTTCACTCCATCTTCTAGGCCAGAACTTCCTTTTTCAATGTGACAGCTAATTTTTTAATGCCAAGAGATAGATATATAGAGAGTTCAAGTTCAAGGCCTAAGGCCTAAAATAAGAATTCACCTATTTCTAGTGACTAAAACTCAGCCTTTCTGAACATCTCTATTGTATAAAATGTGACTGGCTTCTTTAAATGTAAGCTTAAATTACCAACTTTTATGTATACATTTATCTATAATTATTGACTCTGTATTTTATTTTGAACTGATTCCTAAAGGTACCTCAATGATGGTAATGAAATGAACATTTAAAAAGCGTAGAATCTTGTTAGCAGCCATGTTAGGCCACTGTTGCCTACAATGTCTTAATCCCTGGAGTTAGGAAAGAAGACATTATTTAATATTCTTTTATCATTCTCCATCCTTGTACCAGATGTTTTGCTAGGTGTTTGGAGGAAGAGAAAGGGTCACCAAATGACCAGTAATTCTCCCACCCTGAGACAATAACTCTAAACATGTTGATAACCTTCTATATTTTTTTCTGCACAGGTAGTTTTTAATAAAAACGACATAACATTTTTTTAAAAACTATGATTACAGAAGCAATGCCTGTCACAATAGGAGGGAACTCAAACAGTACAGGGGGCACACAATTGAAAACTGAAAGGCTCCCCCCAACCCCCCAGGCCCTCTGGCACCGAACCCTAGCCCTTTGCACTCAAAGCAATCGCTCCGAGGGGTCCCACCTTTGTTCTGCTGGTAGTTAACCTTACAACGTCTGTAAAATATTCCTCACTCTAATTTTAGATGGATTTACTTTAGACAGTAGCTGTTGAACTGGCTACAAATACAAAGAAATCATTTATCATTCCATGAGCTTTCCTAATTTTAAAACTGTTCTTACCTTTACCTTTCCAAAAGCTTTCAACATCTGTCCTGCTGTAATTATCTCATTCTTTTTCATAGGCTAGTTTACAAATGGAAGGACCCAATAATCAGCATTTATGTTATTAGGATTTGTGTAAATGTTACATCCACATTCACTTGAAAGCTTAAAAAGTATGTAATCCTTAAGGTGTTAGACTGTCAGAGGAGCCCCTCCTAAGCATCCCAGTCTAAAATTCTCATTTCTTTCTAGCTTTTTTTGCTTCTCTTATTCCCTGTATCTCGTGTTTTCCTCTCGAATGCTCTTTTCCCTTTTTGGTCTCTCTCTGTCTTTGAGCAGTTTATTCATGAGGACTCACGGTGGCAAATTTTCTGAGTTCTTGAAAGTCTAAAATAAGCTTTATTTTGTCTTCCTATCTGTTTTGCAAGTTTAAATGAATATAAACTCCCAGATTTTAAATGTAAAGGAATTGCTCCCTTATCTTCTAGTTTGGCATTGATTATAGATAAGCAGTTTGATGGCATCTTATTCTCATCCTTTTGTTAGGAATGTTTTTTTCTCTCTCTGAAGTGTTGAGGAGTTTTAAAAAAATTTCTATCCTTTCTAAAATTTTACCTGTATGTTTCTAGGTGTAAGTCTTGTCTTATTTCTCTTGTCATTTTGTGGAAGCTTTCCATTTGAAGATGCATATCTTATTTCAGTGTATGATACGACTGTCTGTCTGCCTTCTGCACTTCCTATTGGGTGGGCTTTAAACCCTCAGGAACTGGCTGTGTTAAAATTATTTGTGTGTATTTTTCATTTCTTGATCTGTTTACTGGGCTCAGAGATTTCTTTGAATTTATCTTTCAGATTAAAATCTTGGTCCTCCACAGGATCTAATTTTAATCCCTCCTATACAGTGAATTTTTTCAGTCATCATATTTTTAATTTACAAGAGTTTTTGTTCTCCAGCTGTTCCTTTTTTTGGCAGACTGTTTTATTTTAAGGCTGCAGTGTTCTTAATCTCTCTGAGGACACCAAATAGAGGTTTTGTTTGTTTTAATTCTGTTTAGTGAATTATACTTTTATTCATTTCCTCTGTGGTCATTGTTTTGTTGGTTGTTCTCAGTTCTTCTCTTTCCTCCTGTCGGTTTTCCTCAGCTCTCCTCAGACTTTAATTTTGGATGCTGTCCAAGTGTCTCAATGGAACACTACCTCAGGTGTTCTTAGCACTGGCATGTGCTTCCTCAGCAGTCGGGCAGGCCTCTTGCCCCAGCAGATCCCTCCACTAAATCTAGACACTTTCTGGTGACCTAGTGTTTTCACATAAGGTATGTTGTGACCATTTTCCAATGTCATAAATTCAAACATGCCAGTTCTACTGGTTGCAGAGTTTTCCATCATAGTATTATTGCTCTCTCTCTCTTTTTTTTTAGGCATTTGATTTTTCCAGTTTTTCACTGGACAACATTAAGGAGTATATTTGTACATGCATTTTTCGTACCTCTGCGATAATTTCCATAGTGTTAATTCCTAGAGTAAAATTTACGGGTTATGAAAGACTTCTGACAGACATCACTAAATTGCGTTTTGGGTGACTGTAACAACTCTCAGCCTCACATAAGAATACCCTTTTCCCTACACTCTCGACAGTGGTAGATGTCATCATTCTTTTTCATCTCTTTGCTAATTGATATATATAAAGCAGCATTTTATTCCTGTTTGAACTTGCATAATATATGAATATTTTCATGAGTTTTTGTGAGTGTGAATTGATTCTTCCTGTCCTTTTCCTGTCTCTGTTGGAATGTTCACCATTTTGTTTTGCTTTATGAGAATATTTGTTTTAGGAATATTAACCCTTTTTTATACATGTTGCAACTATTTGTGTCAGTTTGTGGTTTGCCTTTAACTTTTTCCTAGGTGTTTTTTGCTGTACACCTGTTTCGGTGCTAAGTTTATAACGCCACCCATCTGCCTATCCAGAGATTAAATTTCATTTATACCTCTTGGTATGTTTATGGTTTCTTTTTTTACATTAAGCTTTTAAATCCATATAATTTTATTTTGGAATATGGTTTGAGTAGGGGCACATTTGTTTTGTTTTGTTTTCAAGATAACCAACTAGCTGGCATGTTTTTTGTGGATTGATCATTCATCCTTTCCTCCCTTACTGATTAGAAATCTCTCCCTTGCCATATACTGTTTTATATATGTATGTGTGTATCTGCCTAAAAATAACTTCCCAAGAGCATCCTACAGTTCATGAAATTTCTAGCCAGACCGCTGTGTTACCCTACTATTTCTAGAAAACACTTAAGTATAGTACTTAAACTATTGTATTAAAATCTTATTTAGTGCTTGCTTATTATTCTAATTCTTGAGAATCAAAGACCCTTCCCCCCCAACATTTGCCTTATCAGAGCACTTTGTTATCAACTAAAGATTCATTCTTTTTTGTCAGCTTGCAACCTGTAGGGAGTAAAAGCAACCATGTTTAATGGGGGTCAAACATTAGGATTCTAGAGAATTCAGAATGATTTCAGAGATAGGAAAGTTTAACCTTTGTGGTGGGGAGAAATATTATTAAACACTGGAAATTGATATAAATAATAGTATTTGAACTTTAAGGAAGTAACCAGAATGCTCATAAGTTAACAACATTTCAGAAATTATGTTTTAAAGTTATTGATTTTAAAGTGGATAAAATTAAAGCACTTTCTTTAATAATCCCATCTATGGTAGAGTTATCCTAGATGGAGTTACATACAGTTTCTAAATGACACTGATTCCTGGAGCATTTCTCCTAAGGGTCTACCAATCTGTGGGAAAAACAATGTACTCCATCTTCCCTGCCCAGTACAAGGCTCCAGCCCGGGGATGGTTAAGGCTGGATTTCACCATGAGTTTCTCCAGAAAGAAAAGGTATATTATGCTGCTGTAGGTCACAGGTGAACTATTAGAGCAAAATTACATCGATGTGTAGGTATTTTGCTAAGAAAATAGTTAACCAGAACTCACAAAGCTGGTTAGCGGGTCGAAAACCTGAATTCTAAGTTTTGCTATTAACTGCATGACCTTGAGTGAGTGCATTAATGATTCTCCCCCCCACACACTTTTTTTTTTTTTCTTCCAGAATCCTTTTGGACTAAATAGACATTTCCCCAAATACGTTCTGTAGACCATTATTGCCACAAGGTGCTCTGGGAGTTTTAGGGGTCCACAGTTAAGTGAGTTAGAAAAATGCTGTATAGTAAATCTTCTCTAGGAAATACATAATGTGTAGTATAATATTAAAGGATCATGGAAATCTTACAGGAAAGAAACCCTTATATCTTTTGCACCCATTTCTTGACATCTCTTAAGAACTGTGTTCCATGAAGTCCACTTTAGGAACCTGTTTTAGGTGTCTGAGATTACTAAACATTTATGATCCTAGTAAAAATTTTAGCTTATTTAAATAAATTATTTCAACACGATACTATAATTTGTAATACACTGTGGAATCTTCTTTAGGAAATACTAGGAAAAAAACCCTTTAATTCTATAATTTTCTAGTACTTACGGATTTTTTTAAACACAGAGAGGCAATATTTTCCCTTGGGAATACCAAAACTTTGGTTTGGAATGATTGCTCAGAAGGTAGGGTCAGAGGTTTCCCTACTTTTTGGAAGCTCTGTCCAATACCTCAGACTCTATCCACAATGTTTCTACAGGTTGCAGTTTGACGTTAGGCACTCTTTTATATCCAACACATGTTTATTTTTGTTTAATATGATTTCAGCTATTATTGGCATAAAGTATATAGACCCTCAGGGATCCTTTATTGTTCATAAAGTAATACTTGGCTTCCTAATAATAAAATTCAGAGGAAAAAATCAAGGTGTCTTCATCTTATTTGTAGGATGGGTGCTGCAGATAATATATATAAAGGACAGAGTACCTTTATGGAAGAGCTGACTGACACAGCAGAAATAATAAGACAAGCAACATCCCAGTCCTTGGTTATCTTGGATGAATTGGGAAGAGGGACAAGCACCCATGATGGAATCGCCATTGCTTATGCTACACTTGAGCATTTTATTAGAGATGTGAGTATCTTACACACCTTTTTGTATATGAATGGTGCATAGTATACAAATTATTTTTCTGGCCTCAGCTTCTAAATGTTCAAAATTATCTTTAATATTATAAGGGACCCTACACCTGCAATTGACCATTAAAACACTATACATTGAACTTAGATGGATTGGCCCTACATCATGTCTGTAATTTGTTGATGTGTCTTCTTTGCTTTTGCTGAAGCAAAATAAGCCTGGTCAGTAGGATAAAGGCCTCTCTGGTAATATTTCCACCCCCAGAACTGTTCCTTATTTTCCTTGGCAAACTCTAAATCAAAAGCAGGGATGCCCCCCCACCCAACGTGCAACCAGTCCTTAAGGAAAGAACAAAAAGGAGATAGAGCCATTTTTACCTATGAAATCCTTTTTTCAGCAATATCCTACAGGACCTTGATAGTCGGCCTTTAATGTCATGTCTTTGTGTCTTTCTGTTTCACTCTTTTAATGCACATCTGTTTTTTCCAGATTGCAGTTCTGAGCATCTCGTTGTGAAGTTTTGTTTGTGTTAAACGCTCCATCCCTGTCCATCAAACTCTCCCCTTTATTAATGCTCTCTCTCTTTGTTCATTCTGGTCTCTCTCCTTCTGTCTCTCCTTGGCACCTGCCCTGAACCTTGTTGGTTCTTTGGTTTTTCTTTCTGTATTTTGTTCTCCACTTTTTAAACTCTTTCCTTTGTGTCTTTCCTCCATTTTCATTTCTTTTTCTCTTCCTTACATAACCAATAAAAGCATATTTTTTACTCCTATTTCTTCGCACAGCACAGGATGCAAAAATAACTCCCCTTTTCTTTAAACTTATGTGGGTCTCAGTTTTGTGTTTGAACATTTAGTTAGATTACATAGTTAATGATGGCATGTTTTCTACTTTAAAATAAATACTTTTAATTTTTCTTTAAAAAAAATTCTTTACTTGCAAAAAGATAGAGCTCAGGAATGTCTCTTTAATTATTGTAGAGACTGCATATCACAGGTTCAGGAAAGTCCTGTCACTGCCTCCGAAACACATTTTAAACATTGACATAAGAGCCTTCAGGAACGAATTACGACAGACTGAATTTGCCACCTCTGAGCTTGATTTCATTGTTCCTACTCTAGAGCTGCATGTCAGTTACTATGACTGCATAACAAAGGACCCCAAGACTAAGTGGCTTAAAACAACAATAATCATCTGTTGTATCTCTCATGGTGTCTGGAGTTAAGGAATTTGGGAGCACCTTAGCTGAGTGATTTTGACTCAGGCTCTCTCCTGAGGTTGCAGTCAAGTTGTCAGCCAGAGCTGCCTTCATCTGAAGGCCTGACTGGGGCTGGAGGACCCTTTCCAATGCGGCTCACTCGCTGGGGCAAATCAGTGCTGGTGGTTGGCCAGGACTCTCACTTCCTTTCCCTGTGAACCTCTCCATAGAGCTGTTTGAATATTGAGTGGCTTCTGGCTTCCCCCAGAAGAAGCATTCCAAGAGGCCAAATTATTTTCTGCATTTTATGACCTAGCTTCACAAGCCACACACTGTCACTACCATCATACTCTGTTGAGCACAAGGGCCAGCCTTGATTCATTATGGGAAGAGGCTGCTCAAGAGCACGAACATTGGGAGGTAAAGAACTTTGGGGCCATGTTGGAGGCTGACTGCCAAAAGCAGTTTGGTGATATTTTAAAGATTCCTCTAAGAACCCTCAGGAACAAATTATGACAGAATTAAATTTGTCGCTTCTGTTCTCATTGCTTCTATAGCAGTTTTTTGATGTTTTAAATGTTAATGAAGAAAGTGTTATTTTTAGATAAAATTTATGTTAGAGGTAAGTCATTGAAGAAGATTCTTCAGGAGCAAAGAATCTCTACCCTTTTTATGGATGAAAATCTGTATTTTCATGGTGTCTTTTGATTGCTGGAATAGAGAAGAGAGAGCAGAGAGGAGGAATGGGGAGGCTCTGTGTTGCAGCTGCAAGCTGAAAATGGTTTTGAGGAGAGCAGTGTTGTGACCCAAACCCTTAGGTCTTCTGGCAAGAAATGCCTGTCAGCTCAGGGAAGGGGCATCCCAGAGACAGCTGGTCCAAAGATACTTCAGGGCAGATTCTAAGAGCAGCTCATCAAAGAAATCCTGCCTTAATAGGTTTATTGTAATTGTTATACGAGAGAAGGCACATGTTCTGACTTTTAATGAGGTGAATGGCAGATGAATCAAAACTGAAGTTCTTTGATTTAATTATCCCCTTCTGCTGATTTTTATCTTTTTTTAAGATTGATTTATTTGAGAAAGAATGTGCAAGCGGTGGGGGAGGGGAGGGGCAGAGAGAGATTCCTCAAGCAGACTCCCCGCTGAGCATGGATCTCAATGCAGGGCTTGATCCCAGGACCCCGAGATCATGACCTGAGCTGAAATCAAGAGTCAGCTGCTTAACTGACTGAGCCACCCAGGCACCCCTTCTGCTAATTTTTAGACCAAGATTTGGTGTTAGCTTCTTTTAAGATTTAAGAAATTAGGGATTTCTAGAATACATAATAATGTGTGCTTTAAAATAATGCTTATTAAAGAATCTGTAAATGCATATTAATACTAACAAAACAAAAATAAATTTTAAAATGGTGGCGGTAGGGTGGGGAGAAAAGAAAGCTCTTCTTTACAGAATGCCAACTAATAAATACCGAGAGAATTTTTTTAAATCAGCATTTACTAGTCACCATATCATCAGGCAATGATGATCTATAGATGGCAAAACTTTGAGATGAAAGATTGTTGGAAAAAAGGATATTCACACAATCTCAAAGTATTACTCCACAAGTTATTAATTACAAAGGAGATAGGTGTCGGTATAGTAGAGAAATCTTCTGGGCACTCACTTAAACCAAATAAGCACATTTAGCATCCCCAATAATGGGCCAAATTGATAAAGTAAAATTTAAAAATAAAATAACGGGGACACCTGAGTGGCTCAGTCAGTTAAGCGTCTGCCTTCGGCTCGGGTCGTGACCCCAGGGTCCTGGGATCGAGTCCCACATCGGGCTCCCTGCTCTGCCGGAAGCCTGCTTCTCCTCTCCCACTCGCCCTGCTTGTGTGCTCTCTCTCTCTCTGTCTCTGTCTCTGACAAATAAATAAAATCTTTAAAAATAAATAAATATAAAAATAAAGTAACGTTTGTCATGTCTTACTGCTTTAGGTGAAATCCTTAACCCTGTTTGTCACCCATTATCCACCCGTTTGTGAATTAGAAAAAAGTTACTTACAACAGGTGGGAAATTATCACATGGGATTCTTGGTCAATGAGGATGAAAGCAAAAACGATCCAGGTATGAAATACGCTTGCAGTAAGTACAACTAGACTGTTGTTGGTTTTCATGTTTGATAACTCAAAATTCATGAATACATGAACTTATTGCTTATTAAAAATAAAAGCTGTGAATGTTGATTTTAAATGACATTTGTCTGAATTCATTTTCTCTAAGCTTAGGGTCAAGTAGAATTTACATTTATCTTTGCCATCTCTGAGTGCTTCTCTGGTCTTTCTTTACCTCATTTTTCTACAAGAAGAAGATAGGGTCAGGGGGGACGTGTAGGTTTTACTCTTAGATTCATCTCAGGAAAGATGCCCTAACAGTCAAGTATATTAGTCATCTTTAAAAATGTCTGATGTATTTCCCGAAATCTCATCCCCAGTATTCAATACTGGACATATGTTTTATCTTAACTTGACAAGGAAACTGAATGTCAGGTCAAGTGGCTTGCCCATGTGGGCCACCTGGGTGGGGGCTGAACTGAGCCTAGAATCATAGAATCTGCTTGCAGGTTCTATCCTACTCTGCTAGAACTGGTATGTGGGATCAACACTATTTTTCCTAGCCTTCCCACCCGGCACCACTGTCAGAGGAATGAGATGTTTCGTGAAAAAGAACATCATTAGCCAACAGAAATAAATTCAAGTGCTGTAAGTAATATAGTCAATTTTAGTATAATTTTATTTTCCTGTTCAGTAGTAATTTTTTTAAGCTCCCAACCTGTGGGCCAGTGATGGTTTACACAGTCGGTGTGTTACAATGGAAAATCCATTACCCAAGACACTCCAGAGTCCAAATTTTATTTTGGAAAAGTAATAAAGATGGACCTGAAAAAGAAATCAGGCGACTGGCCCAAATAAAACAAAGCCCTGGACCTGAGATAAATGTAATGTTAGGCAATCCTTGCCTTTCACCACCGTGAAGTCTTGAAAAACACATCATAAATTCTCTCATGGAAGCAGTTTCATGTCTATTAATCTGCATCCAAAGTGAGAGGAGGAATTTATAAGCTAAAATCCAGTGGGATAAACAAGAGTTCACCAGCAGGGAAGGGTCATTGATAAGCATTTACGTGAACTGACTACCAACCTGTAAGGGTTCTGGCATTTTATCTTATTGATTGAAATTTATATTCATGAACATAATTTTAAACAGTAAATGATGCTAAAAGGCTCATGCTAACAGGCCATAGACCCCTGCTTCTGTCCCTTCCCTCCATGCCCTCTCCCCATCCAGTCCCAAGGCAGCTACTTTCAACTCTTTCATTGCTTTCTTCTGTATCTCTAAATAAGACGCTTATCTGCCCATCTCTTGGTTCATCGTCTTGACACAATACTGTCCAGCTTCTCATTGAACTGGATGGGAGTCTTCAGCCTTTCCTGCTTTAACCTCCCAGTGTACTCATTCCAGGTTCTTTCTGCCTCATTCCTCGTCATAGTTTTCACTGTTATTGCCAGTAGCTCTTGCTTAATCATGAGCCAGGTATGAGGACAAGTGCATTTTCTTTCTTTCGCAACTTTTTTGTTTTTTTGTGTTTTTGAAAGCAGTAATTGCCTTGTTTTCATTCCATTCTTTTATTTGAGTCTATATCTGACTCTCCCGGTACCCTCCAGCAGCTTTGTAAAACACCTCTCTAGACATGTTTCCACGTGATTGAACTGTTGGTTCCACTTCTCTTTGTTGGAATCGTTCCTCCTGGAAACCTTTGTCCTGTGCGTTGGTACTGGTCACTCCCTAGGCCTGCTGCACAGTTGTTGTCCTGACACCTGCCTTCACCATCATCCTAAGAATTTTCTCATCCTGCCTTCTGTGCTTTTGATTGCAGGTGACTGGACACTGGAATTCACAGGGGTGCCAACAGTGAGAATGGAAATAATCTCACATTACAGGGACCTCAGAGGAAGAGTGGGCTTCAGCTCTGTCTTCCTCTCTTCCTGCATCATCAGGCTGGTGACAGGGCAGCTGCAACTTTTTCTTGCATCAGAGCCAGAATTGACAGTGTCCCAAGGGACCAGCATTTCCTGTGACTCTTTCTTTGGAGCCCAGATGCTCACTAGCATCTCATCATTGTCCCCTCTCCTTTTCAGAATTGAATCACATGCTCACTCTTAAGCCAATTGCCAGAAGTGACAATGACAGGGATGACTTTGCTCAGCCTAGATTAATCAGGATCCACTTTTGGAGCTTGGTATGAGGACATTATCTCCTCAGTTAAATGGTCAGGGAGTTAATTCCATATTATAAAATCAGGGTTTTCTTAAGGTTGGAAAAGATTTTGGATAGGCTACTAATAATATCAACTAAAGGAGTTAAAAGTTTTGAGGTTTTGCAGGAATGAAAATGTCTCCAATATACCTTCATACTTGATTTATAATTTTGCTGGGCTAGAATTTTAGGTCAAAAATAATTTTCACTCAGAATTCTGAAGCATCGGTGCATTGTCTGCTTACTTCCAGTGTTGTTCCAGCAACATCTGTGTCTCATCCATCACCTCTAACCTAACTCCTCTGCTGTCTGAATTAGAGGCCACCTCATAGGTCATCAATCAAGGGCCCCAAAGACCTTTTGGGTGGCTTTTAAGATACTCTGTTATTTCTCATGGCAAGGTAGATAAAGCAGCAGACTAACAGTAAGAAACATGTACTTTAATCTATTCCAGTCTATAAAATCTTGGACAAGTTACCTAACCTCATCCACCTCTAAAAATGTTATGAATCAGTCCCAAAAGTGACTTCAGAGACTATTTGATCAGCACATACTTCTTTAATAACTGCCTACAGAAGTTTGGCTTTCAAACAAATTTTGATAAGTTCCCCTGTAACAAGCAGAAACATGAATTATTAATTTCTCTGACTCTAAGCAGTGTCAGATTAATTTTTCAGTAATATCCATCTAGGAATGGTTACAGCTTATAAGTAAAGTCCTCACCAAGAACTTTTATTTACTACCTTCTCTCCTATCTGGCTCTGTCTGCCACCACATTTCCATCACACACCCACTCACAATCTCTCCTTTTCTCCCCTCTGAGAGGGGTGAAGGACAGTCCTGATGTAGAACATAACTCTAAAAGCTCCCTAACGTGAGGGGACGCCTGGGTGGCTCAGTCAGTTGAAGGTCCGACTCTTGGTTTTGGCTCAGGTCACGATCTCATGGGTGGTGGGATCGAGCCCCATGTCAGGCTCTGCGCTCAGTGGTGAGTCTGCTTGAGATTCTTTCTTCCTTTGCCCCTCCCCCTGCTCATGCTCGCACTCTCTCTCTCTCTCAAATAAATAAATAAATCTTAAAAAAAAAAAAAACCCTAATGTGATTATGGAAGAATAGTCACAATACTTACCGCAATGGTGTGAGAACTACCATAATTACATGTATCATATGATCTCACTGATATGAGAAATTCTTAATCTCAGGAAACAAACTGAGGGTTGCTGGAGTGGTGGGGGGTAAGAGGGATGGAGTGGCGGTGATGGACATTGGGGAGGGTATGTGCTATGGTGAGCGCTATAAATTGTGTAAGACTGTTGAATCACAGACCTGTACCTCTGAAACAAATAATACATTATATGTTAAAAAAAAAAAAAAGAAGATAGTAGGAAGGGAAAAATGAAGGGGGAGAAATTGGAGGGGGAGACAACCCATGAGAGACTATGGACTCTGAGAAACAAACTGAGGGTTCTAGAGGGGAAGGGGTGGGGGGATGGGTTAGCCTGGTGATGGGTATTAAAGAGGGCACGTATTGAATGGAGCACTGGGTGTTATACGCAAACAAGGAATCATGGAACACTACATCAAAAATAATTAATTAATTAATTAATTAAAAAAAAGAACTACCATAATTAGTACTACAGTGGAGACTAGGATATGATGACAAATTGACCAATTGTTTGTACTGAGATATGTTAAGTTATTCATAGCAATATAACATAAAGCTATAAAATATATGGATATATTTTATAACTATATTATATATAAGAAGCATTTTATAGCTATGTATATGTATACGTACTGTATTATATATATATATAATAATATATATATATAAAGCAGAAAAAAGAAGCCACCAGCAAAGCGACTTTTAACTAAGGGAGTTTTGTGGCATTAGAGGGCTTCCAGAAAAGGATAGAAGGAAGGATGGATGGATGGATGGATGATGAACGGACAGATGGATGAATGAAGTGTTTTTTAGAAAGACCAGCATGGAGGCTAGATCATAGAAGAGAGGCTAGATGTAGGTACATCAGTTAGAATCAAGCCAGGTGAAGTGATAAAAGACTGTTTTTTTTGTCTTAAGAATGAGAAGAGTTTGCCCTTTTGATTGCCTACTGCTGTTCACTTCACTTTTGGTCATGTGAGCATCAGAGAGTAACAAAAAAATTATCCAAGTTAGCAGGCACTGGTTTCTCCACGCTTCTTTCCTGGTCTCCTTCCACCCACCTCCTCACCTGTTCTTTATGTTTCTGGAGTTTTATTTGGAGGCAAAGGGATTGTTAGTGCTTTGCTTTTTTGTTTTTTTGTTTTTAATTTTATTTTATTATGTTAATCACCATACATTACATCATTAGTTTTTGATGTAGTGTTCCATAATACATTGTTTGCGTATAACACCCAGTGCTCCATGCAGTACGTTCCCTCTTTAATACCCATCACTGGGCTAACCCATCCCCCCATCCCCCTCCCCTCTAGAACCCTCAGTTTGTTTCTCAGAGTCCATAGTCTCTCATGGGTTGTCTCCCCCTCCGATTTCCCGCCCTTCATTTTTCCCTTCCTACTATCTTCTTTTTTTTTTTAACATATAATGTATTACTGGTTTTAGAGGTACAGGTCTGTGATTCAACAGTTTTGCACAATTCACAGCGCTCACCATAGCACATATCCTCCCCAGTGTCTATCACCCAGCCACTCCATCCCTACCACCCCCCACCACTCCAGCAACCCTCAGTTTGTTTTCTGAGATTAAGAATTTCTCATATCAGTGAGATCATATGATACATGTCTTTCTCTGATTGACTTATTTCGCTCAGCATAATACCCTCCAGTTCCATCCACGTCGTTGCAAATGGCAAGGTTTCATTCCTTTTGATGGCTGCATAATATTCCATTGTATATATATACCACATCTTCTTTATCCGTTCATCTGTCGATGGACATCTTGGGTCTTTCCATAGTTTGGCTATTGTGGACATTGCTGCTATAAACACCGGGGTGCACGTACCCCTTCGGATCACTACATTTGTATCTTTGGGGTAAATACCCAGTAGTACAATTGCTGGGTCGTATGGTAGCTCTATTTTCAACTTTTTGAAGAACCTCCATACTGTTTTCCAGAGTGGCTGCACCAGCTTGCATTCCCACCAACAGTGTAGGAGGGTTCCACTTTCTCCGCATCCCCGCCAACATGTGTTGTTTCCTGACTTGTTAATTTTAGCCATTCTGACTGGTGTGAGGTGGTATCTCACGGAGGTTTTTATTTGGATTTCCCTGATGCCAAGCGATGCTGAGCACTTTTTCATGTGTCTGTTGGCCATTTGGATGTCTTCTTTGGAAAAATGTCTGTTCATGTCTTCTGCCCATTTCTTGATTGGATCATTTGTTCTTTGCGTGTTGAGGTTAATAAGTTCTTTATAAATTTTGGATACTAGCCTTTTATCTGATATGTCATTTGCAAATATCTTCTTCCATTCTTTAGGTTGTCTTTTGATTTTGTTGACTGTTTCTTCTGCTGTGCAGAAGCTTTTAATCTTGATGAAGTCCCAATAGTTCATTTTTGCCCTTGCTTCCCTTGCCTCTGGTGATGTTTCTAGGAAGAAGTTGCTGCAGCTGAGGTCGGAGAGGTTGCTGCCTGTGTTCTCCTCTAGGATTTTGATGGACTCCTGTCTCACATTTAGGTCTTTCAACCATTTTGAGTCTATTTTTGTGTGTGGTGTAAGGAAATGGTCCAGTTTCATTCTTCTGTATGTGGCTGTCCAATTTTCCCAACACCATTTGTTGAAGAGACCATCTTTTTTCCATTGGACATTCTTTCCTGCCTTGTCGAAGATGAGTTGACCATAGAGTTGAGGGTCCATTTCTGGGGTCTCTATTCTATTCCATTGATCTGTGTGTCTGTTTTTGTGCCAGTACCATACTGTCTTGATGATTACAGCTTTGTAATAGAGCTGGAAGTCCGGATTGTGATGCCGCCAGCTTTCTTTTCTTTTTCAACATTCCTCTGGATATTCAGGGTCTTTTCTCATTCCATACAAATTTTAGGATTATTTGTTCCATTTCTTTGAAAAAAGTTGATGGTATTTTGACAGGGATTGCATTGAATGTGTAGATTGCTCTAGGTAGCATTGACATCTTCACAGTATTTGTTCTTCCAATCCATGAGCATGGAACGTTTTTCCATTTCTTTGTATCTTTCTTAATTTCTTTTATGAGTATTTTATAGTTTTCTGAGTACAGATTCTTTGCCTCTTTGGTTAGATTTATTCCTAGGTATCTTATGGTTTTGGGTGCGATTGTAAATGGGATCGACTCCTTAATTTCTCTTTCTTCTGTCTTGTTGTTGGTGTATAGGAATACCACTGATTTCTGTGCATTGATTTTATATCCTGCCACTTTACTGAATTCCTGTATGAGTTCTAGCAGTTTTGGGGTGGAGTCTTTTGGGTTTTCCACATAAAGTATCATATCATCTGCAAAGAGTGAGAGTTTGACTTCTTCTTTGCCGATTCGGATGCCTTTTATTTCTTTTTTGTTGTCTGATTGCTGTGGCTAGGACTTCTAATACTATGTTGAATAGCAGTGGTGATAGTGGACATCCCTGCCGCGTTCCTGACCTTAGGGGGAAAGCTCTCAGTTTTTCCCCATTGAGAATAATATTCACTGTGGGTTTTTCATAGATGGCTTTTATGATATTGAGGTATGTACCCTCTATGCCTATACTCTGAAGAGTTTTGATCAAGAAAGGATGCTGTACTTTGTCAAATGCTCTTTCTGCTTCTATTGAGAGGATCGTATGGTTCTTGTTCTTTCTTTTATTAATGTATTGTATCACATTGATTGATTTGCGGATGTTGAACCAACCTTCAGCCCAGGGATAAATCCCACTTGGTCGTGGTGAATAATCCTTTTAATGTACTGTTAGATCCTATTGGCTAATATTTTGGTGAGAATTTTTGCGGGATTGTTACTGCTTTGTAATGTGAGTTTTACTCTGTATTCCTGAGAGTGCCAGCATTCTTTCCCCCTCCCATGTCCATCGCCCAACCTTAGAAAGATGTTATTTGCTGCTGAATTCTTAGAAGAGGTTAAAGAAAATTCCATTATCCTTTTTCTCGGTTATGCTTTTTGTTTTTAGCTGATAAAAGAATAAAGCATACACATTTATCAAGTGACATAATGTATGAGAAAAAGCTCTTGATAAACTTATAATACGTTTATTGGGATCTCAGAAATAATTAAAAATCTGGTTCATTTTGGGCATTTTTGCAACTCAGTGTAATTAGATTGAGTTTCATAATAAAAGCTGCAGAATCCTGAAGTGCTTTAGTTTTATCAAAGATTAAACAGTATGCAACTTTGTCTTTCTATTATTGTGCTTCATTATATCCGAGTTCTTTGGAAGTTTTTAGTTCATGTGTGTGTGTTTGTATGGTAGTCTGGGTTCCCTAGGAAGCAGAGTCGGAGATTTTTGTGCCAAGTGTTGACTGGGATTGCTCTCATGATCAACACCTGAGGGCAGGCCTGGGTAGGATGGGGCTGTGTTGTGGTCATAAGGCTTCAGCCAACCCTACAGAGAGCTCTCAGATGTGCTTGGTCTTTCAGAGTTACCTCAACTTGGGGTGAGGGAGCATGGCCCTTTATACCCTTTATTAGTTAGCTGTTGTTGCATAATAGATTACCCCCAAACATAGCTTAAAACAACAAACGTTTATCATCATTTCTCTGGGTCAGGAATCCGGGGGCAGCTTAGATGGCCACTTTTACCTCACGGTTTCTCCCAAGGCTACAGTCAAGGTTAGGTAGGTCAGTTGTCATTTCACGGTTTCACTGGGGGAATTTACTTCCCAGACCTCTTATATGGGTGCTGGCAAGCTTTAGAATGTCTACTTCCAAGTTCACTCATGTGGCTGTTAGCCAGAGACATCAGTTTCTTTCCATGTGGGCTTCCTCATAAGACAGCCCACAATATGGCAACTGGCTTCCTTCAGAGCAAGTAAGCAAAATGAAAGTGCCCAGGGCAGAAGCCACAGTGTTTCGTAATCTAATCTCAGAAGTGACCACACATCATTTTTGCCATATTTTATTTGTTAGAAGCAAGTCACTGGGTCCTGCCCACACTCAGGGGCAGAGAATGACACAAGGGCATGAACACCAAGTAGGCAGGGATCTTTGGTGGCCATCTCAGAAGCTGCCTACCAACTCCCATAGCAACCCGTCACGGTGCAGGCTGCCCAAGACAAGACATGACCTCAAATGAAGCAGTTCTCTTCTTAAGCTGAGGTGACTCCCAAAGAGGGGATACAGCTGAGGATTGTGGATAGACAGCCTTCCTCACAGCTAAGGCAATAAACCCTTTAGTCCTAAATGGGAGCTAGGTTGAACTGAACAGCATCCACTTGAATATATATAACCCTTAGTTAACCCAGTATATTTAATAAACCAGAATTTCTCAATCTTCTTATTTAAACTGTGCAACATGTTATATTTCCTTAAGCATTTTTTTGCTGTTTTTTTGTTTTTAGCATTCTTAGAAACCTCTCTTACGGTGTGTTACTTTACAGAGTATATCACATACAAGACTGTTCAGTGAGTACATTCACTGAAATAACACTTTTTAGTCTGTTTTTACAGGAAAAATTATATTGTACTGTGTATCAGAATCATTCCCTTTCTGATCATAGCAGTTCAGTTGAAATTTTTTAGCAAGCAGCGGAAAACAAATCTTTACCTTGCACCAAATCATTGTTAAAAACTCTTGTAGCTGGGGGCGTGTGACTGGCTCAGTCAGTGGAGTGTGCGACTCTTGATCTCGGGGTTGTAAGTTTGAACCCCACGCTGGGTGTAGAGATTACTTAAAAACAAAATCTTAAAAAAACAAAAAGACCCTTTTAGGTGAGCTACAAGATCCTAAATGCAAGAGAATTTTCAAAACAGTATTTTCCCTTTTCCTAGGTAATGTACAATTGATAAATGGAACTAAGAGGTGATTAGGAACAATGTGTTTCTTTTTCAGATTGTAAATTTTAATTGCGTGAAGTTGTAAGAATTTATGTCTTATTTAATCTTCTACTTTGAACTTTCAGGCATGGTTTCCTTTATCTCCTCTTTTTTATTTATTTATTTATTTATTTTTTATTTTGTAGGTGAAGAACAAGTCCCTGATTTTGTCACTTTTCTTTATCAAATAACCAGAGGAATTGCAGCAAGGAGTTATGGACTAAATGTGGCTAAATTAGCAGATGTTCCTGGAGAAATTTTAAAGAAAGCAGCTAGCAAGTCAAAAGAGTTGGAAGGATTAGTAAATATCAAGAGGTCAGGATGATTGTGTTGCATTTTTTGGTTTGTAATGAAACCTTCCAAGTTGTCCAAGGAAGAGGAGTGTCCTGTAAATGAACGTCAGATTTACCTTTAAGCATTTCTTTAAATATTCTGAAACACATAATTAAAATGAAAACAGATCTTTGAAAAGCTCATGTGAATTCAGTCCGCCTTCTCTACTCAGATCTTTATCTGTTAAGTTGCTAAATTGGTTTTTCAGTCATTTTTCTAAAGAACTAAGTTAACTCCTTACTGTGTGCCAACACATTATTTGCTTAAAGCATTCAGTTATATAACAAATTACTAAAAGAAACCATGACATTTAAAACCTTTAGAGTACTTCCTTTATTCATATATGCATTCAGAAAATAAGAATTCTGTCAGGACATGAATGAAAATAATAGTATTATATAACTATGTAATTGTAGTCAGTATCCCCCTGTCACTTCTTTTGTGGATTGTTTGTGACAAATTTTTCATTCTAAACTACCTGCGGGGCACCTGGGTAGATCAGTTGGTTGGGTGTCCGACCCTTGATCTCAGCTCAGGTGTTGATCTCAGGGTCATGAATTCAAGCCCCATGTTGGGCTCCACACTGGGCGTGGAGTCTACTTTAAAAACAAAACAAACCAAAAAGAACAGCTTTATTGGGGTACCTGTGTGGCACAGTAAGTTAAACGTCTGACTCTTGGTGTCGGCTCAGGTCATGATCTCAGGGTTGTGACCCCTGTCGGGTTCCACACTTGGTGAAGAGTCTACTTAAAGACTCTCTTCCTCTCCCTCTGCCCCTCCCCCCACTCTCTCTCTTGCTCTTTCTCTCAGAGATGAATAAATCTTTAAACTGCATTCTCTCTGTCACTTAGAATGCTTACGTGAATGTATTCTATCTTTTACCCTTGATATCCAGCCAGTATGTAGTCAGTATATTAACTAATATTAATATATATTTGAGGTATACTTTGGAAGAAAGATATTCCTAGAAAAATACCATATTTAAAAATAATAAATTACAGCCTCTTTTCCCCCAAATACAAGATTATATGATAAAAGGACATAAGCTCCTTACCCATCTCTTGCCCCACTCCTGCACTACCTGGAAAGTCTGATATGCCTGGGGCAAGACATTACTGCGTTGGTTGATAACCATGTGACCATGAGGGAACAGATTGTTAGTCAAATAGGAAATCTTGGCTGGGGGCACTTGGGTGGCTCAGGAAAATCTTGGCTGGTCACCATACTACAAGAAAAATTTTTAGTCCTGGAAATCATTACCAAATTTAAATATTGAAATAGCAGTACCTAATATTAGTTAAACAATTGCCAACTTGTATACTGAAGTACAGTTGTGTAACCCACTTCATTTCTTCCCTCTTGTGGTTCTGCCTTGCCACTATACTTTGCAGTGGTAAATGGTGGCTGACCAAGTCCAAAGTGCTGGAATACAATAAATGGCATGACATGTAGCTTCCTCTATTGGCATTCTCTTTTGGATCATTTCTACAATGTCAAATTAGAAAAGTAATTATTTATTATGAGAGTTCAAAGATAAGCCCTTAGTTCTCTGCAAAGTCCAAGGACAAACTCAAATCCTCTTTTGTTATCTTATTATTTTTCTTCTTCCCTAGAGAAACTAGAATAAAACTTTACTGCAAAGGGATATTATATATGTGAGATGGCGATAAAATATGGTAGTTTATAATTATTGCTGCTATATAGCTTATATAATAGCAAGAGCAATAAAATTCACAGGTTATAATATTTTACCTCTTCCAACTACTGTGTGACATTTTGAAATCTATAATCTTGACAAGACAGAGAATTGTCAAAAGAGGTTGCATTGGGGTAGAATTTGATCATTTATTAGGACACTGTATTCATTATTTTTACCTTTTTACTGAAAGTGCTATCACATCAGTTCCATTGGCTAGATCAAAGAAACCAAAGGGAATCCAGTACATTTATGGGTTTGTGGTAACAGCTAGTATTCCTTGAATGCCTACTGTGCACAGAAACAAGTCTATGCAGTCATTTGCAGCAACCTAGATAGACAGGTGCCAGTTACCATTCTTACCGCTTTACATGTATTAACTCAGTCTGTATGACAGCCTTGTGAGATACAGGGACTGGCTTTCTGCCCATATCATAATTGGGGAAAATGAGGCCAAGCGAGGGTTGGAAATCAACCAGGAAGTCAGGGTCCCATAACTAGTCAGTGGTGGAACAGTAGCTGGAATTCACCCTGGCTCCAGACCCTAAACATTTAACTGGTTGGTCTTCGACGGAAAAAATATGTCTATGTTATGTTGGCATTCTGCTCTTTCATTAGCTAGCTTTACTATATTAAATCAGCTTTACTTTTCATCCTGTGAGCACACACAGCCTCTGGCCTGAGTTAGACGGGAACAAGCTGGGTTCTCCCTTCCCTGGAGGTAGTAGTGGCAGTTTGCAGCCTCAGTCCTTGATTATAACAGCGTCACCCAAAGGCTGACGCTGGCACAACTTCCTAACCACAGAACCCTGCCTGGTATTCTAATGTCATAGACCTTTTTTTTTTCCTTAAGATTTATTTATTTGAGAAAGAGAGAGTACGCAAGCAGGAGGGGCAGAGGGAGAGAGAATCTCAAGCAGACTCTGCGCCTAGCATGGAGCCCAACATGGGACTCAATCTCACAACCCTGAGATCTTGACCCAAGTGGAAACCAAGAGTCAGATACTTAACCGACTGCACCACCCAGGCGCCCATCATAGACCTTTTATAGCTTTCAGCGAAATGTATTGTACCTCAACAATTTCATTTATAAAATAAATTGTATTTTATTTTCTCTCCAGGAAAAGGCTAAAGTGTTTTGCAAAGTTATGGATGATAAATGACGCAAAAGACCTACAAAAATGGAAAGACGAGTTTGAAATGGAAGAAATTCCAGGCTTCTCTTCTTGATTAAAATGAAGACTACATTTTTGGACAAAACATGGAGAATTAAAAATACCATCTGTACCAAACATCTCTCCAGTAACAGCCTATCTTTGTGTGATGTGAGCATAAAATCAGAACTATGGTATATTCCCATTGGAAACAGGCCTTTTGTGTAGAAAGTCTGTTCCAGGTTCTTGTCATCCTGACTTATAAAAGTATAAACAGTTTTGAATATTAAGTCTTCTGTTATATAGTTAGAAAACTTCATGAATAGTAAGATTCACATAAAATCTGATCTCCTAAACTAAGCCTAACATAAACTAAAAGTTTATAGAGAATGATAGAAAAATTTAATTCATATTTTTGTTCCAGTCCAGATTAATTTGCAACTGGGTGAGATGTCTAGCAGAAATACACCTTTTCATTTGAACTAAAGTAATTTTATAATGTCACCAGTTTATTCACTATGAGCGTAAGAATTTTTGATGAGAAATAGAAAAAGATATCAAGCTTTTAGAAAGTAGAGCACGGAAGGAATAAGATCATATGAAATTTGAAAAGTTAAATACTCTCACAGTTTTAAGCAATTTAAAAATTATTGGATGAAATTATTTGTCATTCAGGTAATAAACATTTAATGAATACTTGCTATAAATAATGATTTTTTTTACTTGTTGAATTTTGGGTTTTTCAACTATCTGGCAGTTGCTACTTTTTAGGTTTAATTGTGGAACCAAGGTTGCTGCTCCTAGCAATACACAGAACTGAATTTTGGATCTTTCTGTTAATCAGTGTAGAAAATGTATGATCTCTGCCGTATCGAAGTATGTAGTTTTGTTGATAGTTAACAGCACTCCCTCCCTGTATGTTTAGGTTGACATGTGTTCATCTGTGTCCCTGAGGTTTTAACAGCACTTACAACCTGACTTCTCATAGCCGTGTGGTTTTGTTTGTAAATCTGTGATCTTGCACAAAGACTCTCCATCCTATTTCACACCCATTTGTTATTCCTGCTTGTTAAATGTCTTCCCCACATTTGACGGACGTATTTCTAACTCCTTCTTTAGTTTCTTTCCTCCAGTGGTCCGAACAGTGACGCCTGGATACAGGAGTCAGTATAACCTCCCCAAGTTGAAGGGTGTTTGGTTGCCGGACTTTTGAATCACTTACACTGGAGCCCTTTGATTCCTAGCCTTTTTGCAGTTAAGAGTATGATACCACTTGATTGATTCCACAATCCCTTCAGAAGTACTAACAGTGAAATCCTCAAGAATGTCTCAAAAGAGAGTTTGCTATTGGAATTTACTATCTAAATTTTAGAAAGAACAATACTTTTTAAATAGTGTTTTAATACTCTATATGATAGTAAATGTTTTATATCCTTTCTAACAAGTTTTGGAGGTAGTGCTGTAACCTTATGGCAGGCCAGTAGGAAAAGGAGATGAATCCAGGAATGTCATACCCTTGCCTGAGGGAGCTGAGGGACCAGCCATCAGTGGTTATGTCCAAGGGGACATTTTGGGCCATCTCTGGCTTGTGCAGGCCAGCATCAACATTTAAGCAGGTATGGGCTCCAGGAGCAGTGTGTCCAGGTAGTGGCAATCCACATTGTCTGGCAAGTGACAATGTGGACTATTACAAGGTAATTCTTTAACATGAGGAAGGATATCAGCCAGCCAGCCAGTGTGCAAGAGGTCAGGCCTGGTTAGGAGGCCAGCACTGCTGAACTGCATTTCCAAGTGAGGCCCCTTCCTGGTCAGATAGCTGAGACATTGAAGGGAAATTTGTGACAGAGTCCCAGTTAGGAAGATGGCACAAAGGCCATGAAGATTGGCAGGAAATATGCAATTGATTGGGTACATACTGCAGATAACCAAATCGAGGGGTACAATTCTAATGTCTTCCAGATACTAATTTCATTTCCTTTCGATATATACCCAGAAGTAGAATTGCTGGAGCACATGGTAGTTCTGTTTTTAATTTTTCGAGGAGCTTCCATATTGTTTTGCATAATGGCTGTACTAATTTATATTCCTAGCAGTAGTGCACAGGAGTTCCCGTTCTCTACATCCTGACCAATGCTCGTTGTCGCTTGTCTTTTTGATAATAACTATTCTAGCAGGTTTGAAGTGTTCTCTTATTGTGGTTTTGATTTGCATTTCCCTGGTGATTACAGTCAGCTTTAGAACATTATCATACTCTAAAAAAGAAACCTGTACTCATTAGCATTCCTCCATTCCTCCCCAAAATCCCTCGTCCTAGACAGCCATTATCTGTTTTCTGTCCCTATAGATTTTCCTATTTTGGACATTTCATATGAATGGAATCATTACAATATATGGTCTTTTGTATCTGGGTTCTTTCATTTAGCATTTTGTTTTCAAGGCTCATTCATGTGGTAGCAGGTAATGGTACTTCATTCTTTTTTATTATTGCAAACTACTCTGCTTTATGTACTTCATTTTATTTATCAATTCATCAGCTGATGCACATTTGGGTTGCTTCCATTTTTTGGCTTCTATGAGTAATTCTGCTGTGAATATTTTATGTGGCAAGACACAGGGTTGTTTTTTTAAAGCTCCCCCAAATAATTCTAATGTGTAGTCACGTTTGTGAGCCACTATTCTCAATGATGACAAATGGCTAAACTTCTCAGTGGATTGACAACTATTTGCTCCATCTCTCCTCTGCTTTATCTGTCACTTAGAAAGTATGGCAAACTAGAGACCACCCCCCACCCCAATACTTATTTGTTGAAAGAGGAAAGAAAACCCAAACCCTTTCAGATTAGAAACTCAAGGAAAAGACTCTTCTTTTCATAATCAAGGTACCATTTCACTAGGGAGTCAAGATCTGTACAAAAGTATATTACATCTTAAAATTAAAAAAAATTTTTTTTATTCTGATAATTTATTCAAGTTTGAGCCTGTTGTCATGGTTGGAGTGGTAATGGGGCTAGTGAAAATGCTCCCTGAATGAATTCCAGAGTAAAGGCTAGATTGAAGTCCAGTGTTGACCTTCACTAAGTTTCAAAATCAATATTAATTACTGCTGGGCTTTGTAATTATAAAAGTGCTATTTGATGCTCTCTACCAAGGATATGGGTAGAGAGAGAAAGAAACTTGAATTAATACCATATGTGGTTTCTAACTTTATAATTAAGGTCAATTCCTCTTTGGAGCGTTGTATAGTTAGTATATATGATTATTGTTAGGTTTGTTATGCCCTAAGAAGTATTACCATGACGGGGATATCCTTTCTGGTTTGGTTGGGATAGTCTTGGTCTATACTTGTTTTCTTGGCATCGTTATTAAGTCTCTTTCGGGACGCCTGGGTGGCTTAGTTGGTTAAGCGTCTGCTTTCAGCTCAGCTGGGAGCCTGCTTCTCTCTCTGCCTGATGCTCCCTCTGCTTGTGCGCGCGCTCTCTCTCTCTCTCTGACAAATAAATAAATAAAATCTTAAAAAAAAAAAAAAAGAAAATACTTATTAAAAAAAAAAATCTCGGGGTGCCTGGATGGCTCAGTCATTAAGCATCTGCCTTCGGCCCAGGTCATGATCCCAGGGTCCTGGGATCGAGCCCCGCATCGGGCTCCCTGCTCAGCGGGAAGCCTGCTTCTCCCTCCCCTACTCCCCCTGCTGTGTTCCTGCTCTCACTGTCTCTCTCTGTCAAATAAATAAAATCTTTATTAAAAAAAATAAAATAAAATCAGTTACCATATTCTGAATAATCTGAAGGATTCTCTTAAGAGAGAAAAGTAGCACATACTCTGCATTCATTATAAAGCTGATTTCTAGTACTGTGACTAATGGTTGGACACATACTTCATAAATTATGCCTTCTTACCAAATGAAGCCAAATATCTCCAAGGTGAACAAAACGTTTCACAATAGTGAGAAATAGAGGGGCGCCTGGGTGGCTCAGTCGTTAAGCATCTGCCTTTGGCTCAGGTCATGCTCCCAGGGTCCTGGGATCGAGCCCCACATTGGGCTCCCTGCTCAGCGGAGAGTTTGCTTCTCCCTCTCCCTCTCTCCCTGCTTGTGTTCCCTCTCTCATTGTCTCTCTTTCTCTGTCAAATAAATTAAAAAAATAAAAATTAAAAAAAAGTCTCTTTCACTCATAAATGTCCTGTTTTAAATAATACATTATATGGTTACCCCAGTTATAGATCCTACTTCATGGGCAAACTTTACCTACTTGATGGATTTTAAATATCACCTTAAAAAATCCATTTTTTTCTTATGCATTGTATGAACTGATTCTTACAGCAAAGACCCACCGTTTTTTCTGTTTGTAATAAATGCTTTATATTGTGACATTTAGAAAATGACTCTCTGCTAATTGGCACGTTAGAGTTTTGTTCCGTAATCTATTTTAGAAAGAGAGGGGAGAGGGGCAGAGGGAAAGAGAGAGAGGGCAAGCAGACTCCCTGTTCGTAGCCCGAGGCAGGGCTCCATCCCATGACCCTGAGATCAGGAGTTGGACACTTAACCCATTGAGCCACCCAGGCACCCCGCTAGTCTACTTTTGAGACCACATTCCTGAAGATTACTTGTCATCTGCCTTGTTTCAATGAAATCATGGTGAAGAACGTGCACCTATATGACTTGGTAAGACACACAGCAGGACTGTCTTCTTGCAGAAATAATTATTGAGCTTGGAAGGAAGAATCTTCTCTCAGGTTGTTTTGCCCTTTGCTCAAATCCTCCCTTCATTGCCTTTGAGTATATCTTCCTTTTTTGGGGGTGGAGGACATTCAGAACAGTTTATTTCTACGTCAGAAATAATGCATGCCATTTTACCTCCTTTTTATAAACCCTACTTCCCTGAATCTCCCTCACTGGATTGGGTGTGTCCTCCCCTTTATCAGAATCACCTAAGGAGTTTTTGAAAATGCTTTTTGAAATGCATTATTTCTAGGCACCCCTCTCACTGTACTGAATCTGAATCTTGAAGGTTGGGATATGGAAATGTCAGTCAGTCAGTGTTAATTTCTGTCCTCATCTCTTCTCCATTTTCTCTCCCCTTTTCCTTTCTCACCTCTCCCACCATGTTAGTAATCTTGTCTCCAAAGCCATTTGCTAAAAATCATATTCCTTAAATCTTAACCCCTTTACAAGATTCTGTCTGATTTGGTAGGTCTGGCTTGGGGCCCTGGGAACTTTATTTGTAAAGTAGACTTTATTTTTTCGAACAGTTTTAGGCTCACAGCAGAATTGAGCAGAAAGTACAGAGATCCTCTCTACTGTCTGCCTCACCCCCAAGCACTGCCTCCTGCATTGTTAACATCCCTCGCCAGAGTGGTGTATTTGTTATAATTGATGACCCTACATTGGCACTTCATTTTCACTTACAGCAGATAGTGTGTACATTAGGGTTCATTCTTGGTGTTGTACATTCTGTGGGTTTGGACAAATGCATAATGACATGTATCTACCATTGAAGTATCATACAGAACAGTTTCACTGCCCCAGAAGTCCTCTGTGGTCCTCCTATTTAACCCTTCCTCTTCTCTAACCACACACAACCACTGATCTTTTTACTCTCTCTATAGTTTTGCCTTTCACAGAATGTTACACAATTAAGATCATACAGCCTTTACAGATTGGCTTCTCTCACTTAGTAATATGTATTTAAGTTTCTTCCATGTTTTTCACAGCTTGACAGCTCATTTCTTTTTAGCACCAAATAATATTCCATTATCTGAGTTTGCCACAGTTTATCCATTTACCTGCTGAAGGACATCCTAATTGTTTCCAAATTTTGGTAGTTATGAATAAAGCTACCATAAATATCCGCATGTAGTTTTTGTGTGGGCATAGTTTTCAGTTCATTTGGGTAAATACCCAAGTGCAATTGCTGGATCATATGCTAAGAGTATATTTAGTTTAGACTGCCAAACTGTTTTCCAAAGAGGTTGTGTCATTTTGCACTTCTCCCAGCACTGAATGAGAGTTCCTTTTACTCCTCATCCTTGTCAGCATTTGGTTTTGTCAGTATTTTGGATTTGGGCCATTCTAATAGGCATTTAGTAGAATCTCTTTGTTTAACTTGCAATTTTCCTGCTGACAGGATGCTGCACGTCTTTTCAAATGCTGATTGGCCATCGTGTATATCTTTGGTGGGTGTCTGTTCAGGCCCTCTGCTCATTTTTTAATTGGATTGTTCATTTTCTTGTTGTGTTTTAAGAGTTCTTTGCATATTTTGGATAACAGCCCTTTTATCAGATGTGTCTTTTGCAAATATTCTCTCCCAGTCTGTGGCTTGTCTTCTCATTCTCTTGGTGTCTTGCGGAGCAGAAGTTTTTAATTTTAATGAAGTCTAGCTTATCAACTATTTCTCTCATGGATGGTGCCTTTGGTGTTACATCGAAAAAGTCATTGGCATACCAAGATCATCTAGATTTTCTCCTATCATCTGGGAGATTTATTGCTTTGCATTTTACATTTAGGTTTATGATCATGAGTTAATTTTTATGAAGGGTGTAAGGTTTATGTCTAGATTCATTTTTTTAAATAGATTTTATTTTTAGAGCAGTTTTTGTTTCACAGCAAAATTAAGCAGAAAGTACAGAGAGAAAACTTTATTTTAAAGAATAAAGAATTGAGTTTCAAGAAGCTCAAATGGCCTCAAATTCTTCATTAGAAGATGCCACTTTTGCAAATAACATTGGGCCTTTAACTTCTCTTTGGGTTTCTTTTAAACAGAGTATCAGGCAAAAGCAAACATTTAAAGTTACATTTTTGTGTTATGAGATTTAAAGGAGTGTCTATAAAGAGCATGCATGATTCCTTAAACTGTTCATAAGCTTTCTGCTATAATGGTATTCTAATAATAGTCTAACTGTCATTCAAATACTGATACTATTTCGTGATATTCTAAATAATCGAACCGATACATAGAATAATCAGGAAAGGAGTCAATGAGAGTGTTCCCAAGCACCATCTCTGTTTCATGACCTCGAACACTACAGTTTTCCAGCAATCAGTGGCTTTGCTATCTGTACACAAGCTAGATTCTAGAATGTCCTTTCATTATAAGTACAAAAACATGATGGCCTTAGTCAGAAATTAACCCAAGAATTGACTCACATTTCGGAAGCAAGAGGTAAACAGATCTCTGTGTAAATTAATGCTGCTCAGCAGTGGTGTAACTTATACTTGCAGTATTAATGCTCCCAGAACAGTCACTCCTATGTTAAGTAGAAACCTTGGAGTAAGGTCTGAATTAAAAAGGTTTTGAGTTAGTGTTCTCTTACATTGAAAAAAATGCAATTCCTTATTTATAGGGAGGAGCAAGTTGAAAATATTAACTTTCCTACAGAGCTAGGTACCAGAGATTGCAAGGCCTCTGGGTTAAATATAAAAATACATTTATTAGTAGCAGGTGAGTATAGGTGGCCAAATTCAAGGCACCTAAATATAGTCGGGTAATTAGGTTACTAACCCCAAAACAGAAGAAATAAAATGTTACATAAATGCCCAACCACAGTTAAGATCTTTTGAAATTAAAATGATCCCTTCAGAATAGCAATTTATCATAAACTTAATGATCTGTGCATAAACAAATAATTGCAAACTTAGTTAATAGTGGTAGACTCTAAAGTTGCAAGAACAGAAAGACACATAAGGAAACACTGAAAGTAAGGAGAACTGAAAGAGCAGCTTAACTTGAGCTAATAGAAGATGATAAGTTGGAATAATTTTCAAAACACAGCATATACAGTTCTGTTTCTTTTATTTGTCACTTCATTAGCAATGGGCTTCCGTTTCTCCCTACTTGGCGGCTGTTCCATCATTTCATTGAATCAGCTTTTCTCTGTCTTTGTTTCTGCTGCTTCTCCCTTACTTTCTGCTCTGTTTTCCTCTTTTCTCTGGCCTCTGATTTCCTATCACTTATACTTACTGCCTTTTCTCCAGAGGTGTCCATTTTTGTCCCTTACTCCCAGTTTCTTACTTTGTTCTTCAGCCATCCTAAGAAGGCAGACCTGATTGGCTCAGTTTGTCATGATTAGTCCTATTGGGTAGTTTTGGCTTGGGCCACCTCATGGGCAGTTGACTAGCCTGAAAAGTGGCAACCCTTAGATCAAGCAACCATTCTATTCAGTCAGTTCTGTCCAGAATGGCAGCTTCACTTTACTCAGATGGAGCTACAAGCTTGGCAGCAACTTTTAGCACCAATACAGGTGATTGATCTGGCTTCATGAAAGTGCTGGGTGTTTGCACAATATATAAATACACTCGGCCTCCTAGAAATACAGAACTTTACAGGTTCATCCTAGCTGGAGCAGTATACCCACATACCCATCGGAATTAGTGAAATACCTGAATTACAGAATGTTTTTCACAATCTATAGATTCAGTAACATCTTAAATTTGAGAGCGAGGGGTGCCTGGGTGGCTCAGTTGGTTAAGCATCTGCCTTCAGCTCAGGTCGTGATCCCAGAGTCCTGGGATTGAGCCCCGTGTCGGGCTCCCTGCTCAG